TGACACGAAGAAAAATATTTCATTTTTTTTTTAATTTTTTTTTTTTTTTTTTTTGATGCTATTTTAAAATGATTTATTTTAACTTTACATTTTATGATTTAATTAATTATTAGCTTTTCATTAAACCCATTTTCATTTAATTTGAACCTCCTTCAGTTAATTTCCGAACCCCAGTTTGGGAAACCTTGTAATGTTTAATGCACTTCTTGTTAATCACAATGAATGAAATATATTTTCTTACTATTTGTATTTGTATATCAATATGGTACAATATTATCCTATTTAAATCAATGTGATAAAGGAGTAAAGTCAAAAGTAATCTATAAGTAATCAAAAAGTAGTCTGATTAAATTACCTAAAATGTGTAATGGGAGGTGATTACGTTACTAACTACAATGTTTTTGTCATGTAATTTGGAATCAGTAACGGACTACAACTTGTAAGTAATCTACCCAACTTGAACTAATGGTCCATGGTATTGATATCTAAGATTGCACATATTCTAGTCACTCTTTCCAAGTGATAATTGAAAAAAAAGCAGCAGTAGGCTATTTTAACATTCACTATGCAATAATATCCTACAGTTTAATAATATAGGCTTCTATAGAGACTAAATATGGCATGATCTTTACATTGAAAGAAATTACAACAGAGCTGCTTGTTTACATAAGTCAAAAGTGACTGTCACCTTTTTACATATATTACAGTATATGTAATTACATATTCATATCCCAATACCTTACAGAGTTGGATTATTATGTAATTATTCTTAATTAAATAATAATTATGGAAAGCCCTTTTTTTTTGGTCTCTATGAACTGACGTCGTATGATCAGAAGTGTTAAGATTCTTGAAGATTTCTATTTTTGCAGCATACAGGTTTGGAATAAAATGAGGGTGAGTGTGAAGATTGTCAACATGTTTTCGTAATTTCTTTATTCAAATGAGGCACGGAAATGGCCAAAAAACAAGAACTTTAGTAAGGCAGAGAGATATAAAGACTGTCTGTTTCTGTGGTATCAATGATTTAATTCATACAACACTGAAATCTTTGTTCTTTGGTGTTTGCTGTTTTTTGGAGGTAATGTTTGACCATAAAAATATTCACTGAAGAATATCCACCTTTCTTTCTTTGTTTGCTCTGAAATGATAGAACATGCATTACAGCAAGACCTCAAATTTACACAAATAAAGAACAGATGTTTAACAACCTCCTTTGGCAAGATAAGATGGCTCCTGACAGTTTTGATCAAAACAACATATATATTTCACAAGAATATCATACATAACTCTTTTTGGTCACAGCCACTGTAATAATTAGCTTACCATGACGTCAAAGTCGCTGCTCATAACAGACCCAATATAGTGGAATATTCTAGTGTTCTCATTTTGATCAACAGCTCCTTATTACACCTCGGGTTTGCTGTTTCTAACTGCAACATTCAGCTTTGTACACGCACCTTAACAAAGACATACAAAAATCAGTAATTATGACACAGACCATGTCAAACAATTACTTCTGCAGTCAGATAGGGCTTATGAAAATGCATATATGTACTTAATGATGGAAAGGCCTACAGTCGAGAGATATAAAGCACTTTTAACACCATGTCTGCTATAATAATATAATTCTTGTGCCTTTAAAGTTCAAATATTTGTACAAATAAGGTATACTAGAAGATAAAGGATTAAAGATATGTTTGGCTAAAAAAAAAAAAAAAGATCATTTGAACTTTTTCCTTTTTAAAAATGTATACAAAAATATTCCCTTTCAAAGTATAAAAGGCACTTAAGTTAAAAACATTTGACGGAAACGGAAATCTAACCACAGGAGTTAAATGCATGTGAATCCATTTACTGTCCCAATACACCAAAAAATGAGAGATGGGAGGTAGACGTTTACATGTTGCTTTTCAAGTCTGGATTCACCTCGACTCATATTCTGGCTATGAATGAACGCATACGTGTGTTTTTGTATGCATGCTGGTATCTGAGGCCTTTACAACAGACCTGCTGGTATACACAAGTACACACGACAATGAACCTGAATTAATGATATGAGTGACAGTAAACCTCAATTACCTAGAACAGCCAAACAGAAGATTCATCTTTAAAAACAAAAAATCTGTTCATTCTCTATTGCACTTTACAGAAAATATACAAGCACACATGATCATGTATAACTATAGAATACAAAATAAGTACTTCATTACAAATAAATGTCTTAATTGTTCCTTGTCCACGTGGGGAAAAACACAACTATGAATAAATTAAGGCTTCTATTAAGAGTTTAAGAAGCACCTCTAACCACATATCCAGGCCTCGTTTCCAAACAGAAGAAACCCGGCTCTGAAAAGAAAGAATCTGTCATCCCGAGCTGCTCGCATAGGAAGTCTTGTTTTCTCCAAAGCTGCTCTAGTTCCCTCTTTTCTCATGTTTAAAGGCTGCAGTCCACGCTTGAGAGGAGATGTACAGTTTTGTTGGCCTCTAGGCCAGAGAGAGGCTCTGTAACGCTGCTGATCGGGCTATTTAAGGCTTTCATTGTTGCTTTCTTTATAAAAAGCACACAGGGCCGACTTCAAGGTGGTAATGTGAGCCAGATTTTGTGCTGGGCAAGTTGTAGACCTCCACAATGGGCAGTAAGTTTGGGTCCTCTGACTGGAAAATGAACTGTGTCTGATGCCATCGGCCATCTGTGATCTGAGAGGACAGAAAAAGTGGAAGCATTAGTTGTGATAATGAGGTATCCTAATAATGACGTGTAAAATAGTTGTTTTTACATTGCCTAACAGCACTATTGTGTTCCAGAAGGTGTTCACAATTTTTTTTGCTCGCCAAACCGCTTGGACATAAAATATTTACTTGATGCACCCTTGAGATTTTAAATTAATATTTATATAATGGTCAAATAACATGCAAGTAAATATTATATATATATATATATATATATATATATATTAGGGCTGCACGATAAATCGCATGCTGTGTAATTTACAACTGTACTTCAAAATAAAAAAATAAATCTATTTTATTTTAAAAGTTACAATACTAATTCTATTATAAAACTAGTGCACGTTGCGTTCCCAAATGCTAATGTTAAATTTGCAGCACATGTTCAGATTTAGCAGTTTATTGTGTGCCAAGCCTCTCTATAAAGCTGAAAATACTGTATCATAACACAGTGCCATGCTTCACTCTGAAACACACAGTGCATCAGACTATAGCTGTTTTAATTTTACATTTGTTATAATTAATTATTCGGTTTTTATTAGCTCACAAACCCCTGTCTGGGAGCCCTGCGCTTCACAATAAATAAAAAGTTATTCACTAGAACACAAAAAAATGTTTTAATATAACTTTATGCATACCCAGCACTCGTCCTTTATCAGCTCAGGCTCGATGAATCCCCCAGACTCGATTATCTGTCCCTTCCAGGCTTTAAAGTACACCGCACTAGAGGAAGGTGTTTTGGAGTCCCCTGCTGCCCAAACAGAGACGTTCAGGCAGTGAATGGTGATGATCTGCACAGCTTCAGAGCTCAGAAGGTGGATGAAGTTCATCTGGATCAGACTCACTCCAATCTCCAACTTCAGGAAAGAAATAACATCATAATCAATTGATTACAACAATGGAACCACATAAAGGAGAAGACAAAACACACAAAAGCAGAGTTTGCTGAATTATGGCCATTTAAATTATACAGAAATCAGTATTCTGCAGGCTCAGATTCAGTGCAATCCTGCTCATAATGTTGCTCATAATGGCTAGTTGTCAGCTTTACAGACCTTGGAAACAGCGACTGGCTTAAGGCAGGTTTGACCTCCACTGGTGAAGTTGCAGGTCACTTCAATATTGTCAGAAGAGCAGCCCAGGTTAGGATCTATCCAATAAGTGCCTTTAGTAAAATACAAAATAAAAACAAAATGAAAGAGTCCATAATTGGTGGTGTTAATGTAGCTTTAGTGATAAAACAATGACATTTACAATGATAATGTCCTAGAAATACCTCACCATCGTTCAATCTGTGCTCACATTCAAACAGATCTCTGCACATTCTGGTAGGATTCTCCTGTGTTCCCAGAGGATTCTTGATGCTGTGGATTAGAGTGCTGAGGTAGTGAAGAGTCTTAAAGATCTGGGTTCCCTGGTCCAGCATTAGAAGCTCAGTGTCTTCATACGTCTGTGGATTGGAATGAAACAAAGTCAGGTCTATGATGTCCTGACATAACGTTAATGTTCCTTATCTAACCTGTAATCGGTGCCATGAAATTGACTGTATAAAATTTATACAAACAAATGTCTGTAATTTATGATTGTTTATGCATTCAAATGACATTAAAATGAACAGTAGTAGTTATTACTTGATGTTGAACACTGTTGGCACTTACCTCGGACCGTAAAGTAGAGCGGGAATCCATAACAACATGTAAAGCAGCACCAAGAGCCTCATTTTCCTAAGAGATAACAAAGTAGAGCAGGAATATCAAGGAAGTTGAAAGTAAACTGATTTTAATATGAAAAAAGTTTAGTAGATCAAGTCTTTAATCAATTCATAATATGTGGTGTATCGGCTGTCATGTTGGTGTTGTTGTTTTATATTTTATCATTGGTGGACAGTAACAAGAGTATTTTTTAAAAATTCTACACACACCTGTGGTCTTAACGACAACTTGAACACTTCAGCAAAAAACAATGGAAATACAGTATGTCATGTAAGTAGACAAGTGGTCAAGTGTAAAGACCACAAGAATTTTTTGCGTTGGTGGGTTGATGATGAATGAAATAACCAGTTAAATTCAGGACAGGCTTTTAAATCATTTTTTGAAGTGTACCTTAATTCTTTTTTTTTAATGTAGAGTGCATTTACAGGGGTGTACATACATTTTTCAGGCTGGTTTTCATGAGAGCATCAGGTGATTTGGTTTGGTGCTCACACTGCACATAGTGTGACCCATTAAATATAGCTATAAAAATAATGAACACTAGTAATTATAGTATTATTGCACTTTATTTAGTTTTTAAACTTCTTAATAGAATAAATAACAAAATAATAAATAAGGTGTGATAATACTATTATATTTAAAAATAAAAAAATGCTTATTAAATAAAAATACAATAATTTTATTGTACACTTATAGGGATAGTTCAACCAAAAATTAAAATTCTGTCATTAATTACTCACCCAATAAGCCTTCGTTCATCTTTGGAAACACAAATGAAGATATTTTTGATGGAATCCGAGAGCTCTCTGATCCTGCATAGACAGCAATGCAACTACCACGATCAAGGCCCAGAAACGTAGCAAGGACGTCGTTAAAATGGTCCATGTGACATCAGTGGTTCAACTGTAACTTTATGAAGCTATGAGAATACTTTTAGCGTGCAAAGAAAATTTATTGCAGGGTCAGAGAGCTCTCGGATTCCATCAAAAATATGTTTTTTATTTGTGTTCCGAAGATAAACAAAGGTCTTCCAGGTTTGGAATGACATGAGGGTGAGTAATTAATGATATAATTCTCATTTTTGGGTGAACTATCCCTTTAATAAATATAATGCTAATATTTACTTTTTTGTTTTTTACAGTTTTATTTATTATATACATTTTCTAAATTTTCAAAGCTAAAATCAGCAAGCTTTTATTTTGGCGGGTTGCCGGGAAGTAAGTACAGTATATGCACTGCTGGTTTTAGTGCTGCTGAGTGAAGCGTGTCAGGAAAAGAAATGTCACAGTTTCGCGTTTTGCTCTGAAACTGGCAGCGCTTATTTACCCAGCGCATTTTTTTATTTTGGTCGTGTCTGCGCAGCTGCGCACCTCTTAAGTGCACCCCTGTACATTTACATCATAGCACCTGTAGAGATGCTTTATCAAGAACTTTTAGTGTCATGGACTTCAATTTCTTTAGACAAAGATATACAAGGTATACTTACAGGAGAAAAAGATACACCAGGAAGCCCCTATAAGCCAATGAGAGATAAAGAAAGAGAAAGCATTGATTACAATCAGCTTCAGCTAAATGCAACTCAAGCATGATACATACTATTCACATGGTTGTGAAAATGCATCAAGACTACTTACTGGAGGTCCAGGTGGTCCACGAGGACCTGGAGGTCCCTAGTGGAGAATGAAAAGAACATTTTTATGTTGGTTAAATAGTACCACTTAAGTTATCTAAATGTAAAAAGGCAAGTAAGGTTGAAGGGCATTGGGGAAACATACCCTGGGTCCCTGAATACCCTGTTTAAAATAAAAGGAGAAACATAAAATGTAATTTTTTCAATCGTGAATTCAATTGGAAATCACCTAGAATTTGTTCCCGCTAGATTCTTACCATTTCCCCTCTATTTCCTTTGTCTCCTTGTGGTCCCTAATATAAAGAGAGGAAGAGAAGGGTGTTTTTCAGAGTATGCGCCTAATTAGAAACCACCATCAAGCTACCTTAAGTGACTCATATCATACATACTGGGTTACCACTGGGCCCAATGATACCAATGGGTCCGATGGCTCCTTGCATACCCTTAAAAGAAGAAACACCTACAGTAGTTGCTGATCAAGAACTCTTCATCCATCTCATTTAGGTTTTCAGGACAGTTCTCACAGTGGTACTTACCATTAAACCCTGAGGACCCTTTGGGCCCTGGATACCCACTGGGCCAAGGTCTCCGGGAGGCCCCTGTGAATGACACAAACACTTTGGTCAAAACTATTTGGCCTTACAATATCAGAATACAGAAAATCATTACATCACAGCTTTTGTTTGGTTATATTGCTTGACTAGCTCTCTTAAAGGATTAGTTCACCCAAAAATGAAAATTAGGCCATAAATTACTCACCCTAAAGTCATCCTAGGTGTATATGACTTTCTTCTTTCAGACGAATCTAGTCGGAGTTATATAAAAAATTGTCTTTGATCTTTCAAGCTGTTTAATGGCACTCAGCGGGTGTTGCATGCATCAGTCCAAAAGAAGTTAAATAAAAAGCGCCCATCCATAAAAGAAGTGTCTCACACGGCTCCGGGGGGTGAACAAAGGCCTCCTGTAGCGAATCGATGCGTTTTTGTAAGAAAAATAACCATATTTAAAACGTAATAATCAATTTAATTTAGCTTGCCCTCACTGTTGTGATGACGTAAGACGTCGGCGTTGCACATGCGCCACTCAGAAGTGACGCACGCGGAAGCGCAGGGGAGACATCAAAACAAAACAACGGTCACTAATTAGAAGTACAAAACGAGGATTTGTAAAGAAGAATGTCAGAGGATTTCGATATAAGCCAAGAGGAGACTGGTTTTCCTTTGCTAAAGTAAGGAAACTTTGCTTCCTTTGATCCTGCTGAGTGCCATTAAACAGCTTGAAAGATCAAAGACAATTTTTTATATAACTCCGACTGGATTCGTCTGAAAGAAGAAAGTCATATACACCTAGGATGACTTGAGGGTGAGTAATTTATGGACTGATTTTCATTTTTGGGTGAACTAACCCTTTAAATCTGCTTAAAAAAGCTATTTTTTATCTTAAGCTATAGTGCTTGTACAGCTTGTACAGAAATTGAAGTCCATGACACTAAATCCTATTTTTAACTGTCTTAAATTCGTTTTAAAGGGGTCATATGATACGATTTCAAGTTTTCCTTTCTCTTTGGAGTGTTACAAGCTGATTGTGCATAATGATTATTTTACTTTCTTTAAAGCAGTTTGAATTACTATTGTGTACGAAATGTGCTATATAAATAAACTTGCCTTGCCTTGCCTAGCTGTAATGAAATGCTAGCTTGCACTGTTGGCTAGAAGGCTTAGCATTAAATGAGAAGTAAATAATAACTGCTTGCCTGATTAATTGGATTTTGGTGAATCATATAAAGGTGCACTTTCCTTTCAGTTTATACTGTTCATTAATCACAAGACCAGTCACTGATATATTTTATGTAAGCATCTTTATATATTATTAAACACCTAACAGCTTTACTTAAATAGATTTGATCTGTCGTGTAATCATTGCACATCTATCAGTCTCTTTGATAATTTTGGTAAAACAGTAATTAATTTGAATATCCTCAGAATATAAAAGACATAATTTTTCTTCTGTAATGTGACATTTCCATGTAAAACAGGATATTTACCTAGAAAAAATATAGGTAGAGTCTCTATATGGCAGTTTAAAAATGGGCCTGGTAACATCAGTTTAAAAAGAACATGGAGGAAATTATTACATTTTGAAGAAAGATTGTGAAGACAATTTTTTTAATTTGGAAAATTTAGATTAATCATTCAGAATAAGACATTTAGATTGATCATTCACTTACATTAAAGCAAACAGGATGAATTTTGATCATAAAAACATAACAAGTTGACTTTATAGGCTGACGTTGGTGCAAGAAGAAAGTTTACCTTCGGTCCAAATATTCCAAGAACTCCAGGAAATCCCTGTTCACCAGTACCACCCTAAAGAAAAATATAAACAGATTATAAATAGGTAACAGTAGTAGAATGGCATGACACTATTCTTCAGGAAGTGTTAAAGAAATGCATTGTCATTCATTCATCAACTGTTAAATAGACTGAAAACATGCAAATATACTACCATTTAGAAAGTTTAGGGCCAAATTAATACTTTTATACAGCAAAGATGCAATAAATTGATCAAATGTGACAGATCAAACGAGACATTTATAATGCATTTATAATTACAGTTTCTGCATATGTATTAAACAGTGCAACTGTTTTCAATAATGATAATAATAAGAAACGTTACTAGAATGATTTTGGAAGGACTAAGTAACACTGAAACTCAAACTACAGTATTACATAGAGCTGTGTAAGAAGTTACTGTCTGATTTTGGCAATTATGTTCTTTGTTTTATTCTCAGAGGTCCATTATTTAAACAAAAGAGATCACTAGAGCAGTATTCATTGGTGTGTTTGTCATATTTGGAATGGATCAATTGTCAGAGAAGCAATACTTACAGGTTGCCCTTTGACCCCTCGGTCACCCTGTTTTCCAGGAAATCCCATTCCCCCATTAAATCCTCTTTTGCCTGGAGGTCCAGTTTGGCCAGGGATGCCCCTTTCACCCTAAGTCAGAACATTGAGAAATATTTAAGCTAAAACCAGCTAATATTGTTATAGATGCAGATAATGATGACACACAAACATAAATAACTGGTCACCATATATGCATATAAGCAAGGTACCTTTGGCCCAAAAGAGCCTTGAATTCCTGGCAGACCTGGTACACCTGTGTTTCCTTGAGGACCTGGTTTTCCAGGCAGACCAACCTCCCCATCACTTCCATGCTCACCCTAATGTGCATAACAGGGAAAAAACAAACCAAAACATCACAAACAACAAAACACACCTGGGCGATTTCAAGTGTTACATTGAAAACATTGAGAATTACATTCATTGTCTTACTGGCATTCCTTTAACTCCATCTTTCCCAAGGGCTCCTTCTACCCCAGGATCACCCTCAAGACCCTCACGACCAACAACTCCTCTGGGGCCTGGGAGACCAACAGGACCCTATGAGAGAAACACAACTGTTTATATTAACATCAGCTGTAGGTTCTGTCATGATGTAAGAAAAACGTACTTACAGCGGAGCCTCGTTTTCCAGATTCACCACTTGGACCATTTTTGCCTTTTGCACCCTAGAAAAATCAGTTATTCAGTTGAGTTGGATATTATGATTTAAAACAGAAGCCATATTTGTGCATTATATTTAAACAAAACAAAATCCACAATATGTTTGTCTTGGTAAAGTCTTACTTTATTGCCTTTGGATCCTTTAGGCCCTGGAAAACCTTTTGGCCCTGCATTTCCCTGTGGTTATAGACAGAGAAAATAAGATGAAGAAAATATACATTTTATAGCTCAGTTTAAAGCAGGGGTATTATTGTTAATTAAAACGAAAACTAAAACCATAAAAAAATACTTTGATTACTTATAATAAAATAAACTAAATAAAATTAAATATTAAAAAAACATACTAGATTTATTTTTTAAGCTATTTGCCAAGGCAACATTTTTCATTTCACTTTAGTTTAAGTAACTAAATAAACTAAAACTTCATAAAAACTACACAGACATATTTAAAAACTAATAAACAAATAAAAATGACAAAATACACAACAAAATCACAAAAAATGTAACAAAATTAAAATAAGAACAAGATACAAGAATAACATCAAATTCAAAATATTAATAAAACTATAACAGTATAAAGATGTAATTATTGGTAGATTCACTCACAGGGAGTCCAGGGGCCCCTGGGTTTCCTCTTTCCCCATGAACACCTTCGTGACCCTTGAGATTTACAAATTGAGATTCAAAATTGACATAGAATGTATATTTAATTAGTGATCTATTTTGGAATTGTCTAAAAATATATTTCTTAAATCAAAACTCACTGGGTATCCAGGGTCACCTGGCTGTCCCCTTTCTCCTCTGTTGCCAACAGGTCCCTAAACCCCAGTGAAATCCAAACATATTGATCAGGTTGGCATCCAGACTTTTCACAAAACAAGGCAAAAATGTGTAATAAATCTAGTGGACTGACTCACGATGTCACCTAAAGGACCAGGTGGACCTTCAACCTTCCTGTCGTCACCTGGCTCTCCCTGAAAAGTGTAGAAATTGATTTCAGTATTGATTTCTGGATTTTTCAATCTGGTATAAATTTGACCTTGTGCTATGGATATGCTAAGGTTACATTAATTCCAAAATTAATCTGGATTTTTGGAAAAAGACTATTTGTTTTTATTATACAAATACAAAGAACACTCCTTTGTTAAATGAGCTTCTAGTTATAAGGCCTTTTAATTTTTTACCTTTTCACCTCTTGGTCCTGGGGATCCCATTGGACCTTTTGGTCCTTGATGACCCTACAGTAAATGAGGAAATAAAAGAAGAAATAGTGGAGTATGGAACCATTTGAGCGCTTAAAGACAAGCTCTAACAAGCCTTATTTACTTAAGAACCTCATATAATGTAGAGCAGCCGTTTTGATTTTGTACCATTTTATGCTGAGGTAAAATAAAGTCTTATAAGGCACGTCTATGTTAAATAACACTTACTTCATATCCCACTAAACCTGGTTCTCCATACTGACCCATTTTTCCCAGAGCACCCTGAAAATAATAGCCATGGGATCAGAGTTAGCTTCAGATAGCATAATCAGAAACTCCATTCTTGCCTAAACAAAACACAATTAAAAAAAGGGTCTCTACAATATTTTCTTTGATGTATAATAACATAAGTATCAGCATTTTCTGTGGTTTGTCAGTGATGTAATACGAGATGGTTAAAATATATCTCTGGCAAAGGAAAGGCTATTTCAGAGAAAAGCGTTTGTAATTATTTCTTTCTTCTTACAATGACATCATTAGACCTTTGTAATCAATGGACCTTATGTCCTTTTGGTTTGCAAAACTCTAACGTTGAACATTTTACCATAAACCCAGTAGTTCCTCTGCTTCCTTTTGGCCCAATGAAACCTATGGCACCTTGTTCTCCCATTGGTCCAGTCTCGCCAAGGTGACCCTGGTGACCTTTGCTGCCCTGAAATGAAATTAAGCATTATTTAAACATTCTACATATGGACACACACACACACACACACTGATATCTAATGATAAGTACTGAGAGTAGTGATGGATAATCATGTCATAAAATGTCATAAATGAAATACCTTCTCTCCAGGTTTTCCCCTCTCACCAGTTTTTCCAGGTTTGCCCTCAGGGCCCTGAAATTACATTACAGAGTTGACACTGCAAAAATGAATTAAAAGACATCTCTGAATGAACACATTCAGTCTGACTTTAATCATTCAGAACTACCACAAGGAGGTGTAGTTTGTCTTTGCTGTCATCCAACATCACTCAGTCTTCAATAAAACCTTAAAGCAGTGGTCGCCAACCCGTCGATCGCGATCGACTAGTAGATCTTTATCACTGTCCCAGTAGATCCCGAAAAAAACAGTAAAATAAGTACAAAAATGCATTACATTTCTGGGGTTATATTAATGTATCACTGAAGGGAACTGTCAAGTGCTATGAGCAATAAAGTGCTCTAGAGTGAAACAGTTTACACCAGTCCTGCTGAGAAACTGCTGAAACCAGCTTAAGGTGTTCAAAACTTATCTAAAACTTTCTACAAATAAAAAAAGGCAAACCAAACCAGCTTGACTAGCTGAAACAAAGAAAAATAGTTAATACTATTTATTTTTTTCAGCAGGCCTAGATTTGCTTCATTTTTTTTCAGAATTGAATAGTCAGCAAAATATCAGAACTATTTGTTTTTCACTGATAAATCCACAAAAACAATAGCACTGTGATTGTGATACACATGAAAACATTGACAAAATGATCTTTGATTTCGAAACTGAAAAGAGCACACACCTTGACACCTGTTAAGCCAGGATCTCCGACACGGCCTTCTGTTCCTGTAAATCCGATGGCTCCTCTTTCACCTGTTTCTCCTTCCAAACCAATGTCACCCTTTTCACCCTAGAGACAACAACACCTATTGAAACTTAATACAATCTAAAGCAAACAAACATAACGTCTACTAACATTTTGAAATAAAGTGATCATGCATAAATTAAAAAAATGTATTTGGTACTTTTCTGACCTTAGCTCCATCAGGGCCACTCAGACCAGCCTCCCCATCAAGCCCAGGGTCGCCCTGAACAAGAACGTCATTAAAAAAAATTCACTGAACTACTTTAAAAAGACACAAATGTGGACTTTAATCAGGGTAGATGCCATATTTCGCTTGACACAAATAAAAACAAAGCTGTGAAGGACAAATGTGTTGAGTTTCTAGGTTGCATCTAATAAACCATCCCTTGTGAAAAAGAAGTACACTTTAGTCGTACTAGAGTACTTGTTACGGAAATAATAAATTTTTGACAAACAGATGAATGAAATCATCAGAATGAGCTTTTTCAAATTGAAGAAGACCTCTAAGATTAAGCCTTTTTTATCCCAGAAAGATTTGGAAAAGGTTATTCATGCATTTATGTTTTCGAGATTAGACTACTGCAACTCGCTATATTATTGGGCTCAAAATAAAATTTGAGATAGATTGCAGATGGCCCAAAATGCTGCTGCAAGAATGCTCACAGGCACTTGTAAATTAGATCATATAACCCCGGTGTTAAAATCATTGCATTGGTTGCGTTTCTTTTAGGATTCATTTTAAAATCGTATTATTTGTATTTAAATCATGGCTTAGCTCCATCGTTTATTGCGGATCTAATTCAGGAACAAAAGCCAATGAGATCTTTATGATCTCAATCACAGAAACTTCTTGTTGTTCCTCGGTCTAAGATGAAAACTATGGAACAGCCTACCACTATATACAGTGGGGAAAATAATTATTTGATCCCCTACTGAATTTGTAAGTTTGCCCACTTACAAAGAAATGAAGGGTCTATAATTTTTATGGTAGGTTTATTTTAACGGATAGAGAGAATATCAAGCAAAAAATCCAGAAAAAAAAAACACTAGGTCAGTTTAAAAGCCATCTGAAAACATATTTTTTTTATGATAGCTTTCGATCGGTTGCTCGTGCCATATGGGTCTCTTTTGTCCTTAATTAAGATAAATTTCGATTGTTCTTTTAAGGTTTCTCTTTTTATATTTATTAGATATTATTAGATACATGGTTATGATTTTTTAAATGTTTTCCTCTCCTAATTGCTTTATTGTTTGTACAGCACTATGGTCAACATTGTTGTTTTATTCAGTGCTTTAGAAATAAATTTGAACATTTTAAACTTAATTGTGAACTGAATGTAACGTTTTCATACACTTAACTGCAATTAAACAAATATGTATTATAATAAAATAAAAATGTTTTATAATTTAAATGTAAATTCAATTCAATTAGCTAAACTTTCAAGAGCTTTTCTGACCCACTGAAGCAGGACTTAAGTACATCTTTAAATACATTTGTAATTATAGATTTGTAATAAAGTTGTACATAAAATAAGAGTACTTCTTTCAAGCACAATAAGATTATTAAAACATGTTTTATAATGTACAATGATGTGTATAATGTATCTTTAAAATCTATTTTAAGATTTGAAGCACACATTCAATATAATTAAGCACATTTAATTATAGTACATAAGCGCCTCAGTGACTGAATGATTGTCACTGAGGTATACAACAGTGAAACCCACTGAACTGACAGTAATGGCATCTCTCCTGAATAAAGTCTATTACGCTTAGCAAAATGAACCTACTCGAGGTCCAATCAAGCCTTGCTCTCCCATATTCCCAAGAGATCCAGCAGCACCCTAAAAAGTGTGGAAAAAAAGTTACAACTCAAATTTCAGCATAATTAACTTGTGCTTTGTATAAAACATCTGCATATGATCACAGTAACCTCACTATGGTAAATTTTGGACATGACATTACTAATCAGCATTCAGTATCATGTACAGCATAAGAAAACACAGCAGGTGTTTCACCTTCTCTCCTGGTTCACCTGGTAAGCCTCGCTCCCCAACCTTCCCAGGTAAACCCTGTCACACAAACCAGGAAACTAATGAACATGGACTGTTTAACTTTCTAAATCTTACTACAGTCTTTGGTCCCTCACAGCTAAGAAAACATGTGGGAATAATAGATAGGTAATTAGAAACAAAGGGACAATGTGGGACAAAATCTGTTTCTTATTTCGGTTTCATTCGTTAAAGTATTTTAATTAACAAAGTCAAGCTAAGTGTTTTCTAGTGCCACCTGAGGACATTGTAATTGTATACAGGAACCACAACTAATCTGGCATTGGCTAAATTAGGGCATAAATAGAATTGTTTAGCAAAAAAGCAGTGAGAAGAGTAGGACAGAGGGGTACAATAAGAAGTAACACAGCTTGAAAAATAGAGAACTGATCTAATAATGCTGGAAGTACAATATGAAATATCAACACATATTTGAAGATTATGTCAAGAATCTTACCTCTGCTCCAATCTCACCCAATGGACCTAATACTCCCAAAGGCCCTTGAGGACCCTGTTAAGAGACAGAAAACATATGGCTGTGATATCAGCTACTGAAACAATGATACAAATCTTACTGAGTCCAATCTTTTGAACAATAGTGTTCAGATTTGTTACACTGATAAAAAAAGACAGTAATATATATATTGTTACAAACGAGTTCTATTTCAAATAAATTTGAACAATTAAACAATGTAAGTCAATGAGCATCAAAACGGTTTCTTTCAACAACCTATTTGCTACACCTCTGAAACAACTTTCCAGACCATTTAATAATATTAACACATAGCCAAATAGCTATTCAGGCATTGTTTTTGCAAACTCTTTTCCAAACCTGGCTCCGTTCTGGTATGGAACAGTAACTTATCACAAATCACTCAATTCCATATGGATAAAATCAAGTCCTGTTTTTTTTCTAGTTGAAAATCTTGTTTTACTTAAGAATAAATGCTGCCATTAGTTTTGTCACATCACATTGACATCATCAAACCTGATATGTCACATGTAATGGTACCATTTTAATCAGATCTGAACAGCGGAGGGGAACAAAGTCAGTTATTAAAGGCTTACATTTCAGTCTGTTTCAAAAGACTTGGAATAGATGGACTGCTTCATGAACATTTTATGGTGCTTTTTTGTCGTTTTGGAGCTTGACAGTCCAAATCCTCATTCATTATACATGAATGATGTACTTACAGGTTCTCCTAAGATGCCCTTTGCGCCAGGAGGTCCTGTTGGCCCTTGAACACCCTAAAAAATGGATATACATATTTAATTTCAAAATGTATATATTATAAACTTAGTTTTTTTTTTTCAATTAATTTTTTTCAAAAACTGTTGAAAATGTTTATCAAACAATCAATTACTCACAGGAAATCCAGTTGGTCCGTTTTCACCAGTTTCACCAAGTTTACCCTATTACACAAGAGAGAAACTCAGTGTCTCTGCATCTTGTCACTGGGGCAGTTCCCAGTTCTTTACCCTTAAAGGTAAGTGTAGGTGCATAGTAGTGCGATAAGAGTATATATTACTATCTTAAGGGTACATAAAACTACTGTAAGGTACAAATATGCACCCTTTGGGCATAAGGTACAAGGTACAAAGGTGTCTCTTTGAGGATACTGCCCCAGTGACACGCTGTTGTACACTCTAAAGGCTACAAATGTTCAACGTTAGAGTTTTGCAAACCAAAAGGACATAAGGTCCATTGATTACAAAGGTCTAATGATGTCATTGTAAGAAGAAAGAAATAATTACAAACGCTTTTCTCTGAAATAGCCTTTCCTTTGCCAGAGATATATTTTAACCATCTCGTATTACATCATTGACAAACCACAGAAACCCAAACCCCAATTTTTGCACTATTTTTTTTTGGACAGTGTCAAAATTTAAGAGAAATAAAACAAATAAAACTGTAATTTTACCATTTGTCCATTGAAGCCTTGTTTTCCCAGTGGGCCTTCAGGACCCTGCAGAAAGGGGACAGAACCCAAGACAGTCACCAACTATTTTCCATTGCAACAACCAAATCAAAATATTCTTTATTCTGTTTGATCAAACCAAAACCAAGTATTTTGGAAATGTTTTGAGACAACCTTCAATGCACCCTGTTTCCAGCTTTTCCGGTTGATAAAATGTTGTGCTGACAATTTAGATGTGTTTCATATGTTGTTTTGTTCTGTGGTAGGGAAAATGCAGTGCATGCCAGCATGGAGGAAGTCAAGTACTTCATCTTGAAAAATAGCATAGCATTACTACGCCGCTTTCAACAAGCACCATTCACTTCATTTTGAAGTTACTGACATCTCACGAGGATAAAATTGCAAACAATTACTAAGCTAAATGTTTCAAGATCTCAATATTAAGCTGCCAGTGAAGATTAATATCAAATTAATCATATGCAGCCCTAATTGTGCTTATAAACAATAGTGAAAACAAGGAAACAGTAATGACTTTGGTCCAAAAAAGGGACTATTAATGATGAAAGTTTAGGACTATTTTCTAATCGGTATCATGACTGTAAGATGTTATGCAGTAACTTAGCTCTACAAGAATCATTGCTGAATATTTCACCTTCATTCCCATCACTCCTTTGTCTCCGACTGGTCCGTCTGGGCCTGTCGCACCCTATGTAGAATATAGAGAGGTGGAACTGGCATTATGGAGCAGACACATATGGGTGTACAAAAATGAACCAAACAGCAGAGGGCACACTTGTACAAACAAAGACATCAGTGGTGATACTCTGGGTCAAGAGAACAAGTTTACTATTATCACCTAGTGTAACTAGCAGATATACAGTATAGCATTAGTCAAAGTTTGACAAACCTATATGACATATAGACAACTAATTCAGAGTAATTTGTATGACTTATGGTCTTGAACGAGTCAAATCTCAAGCTCACCAGGGGCAAAAACCTGAATGAATGCAGCTTTAAAGACTTCTGTGAAACATTAGCCTTTCACATCATGGAAGTTCAGTCGCAGTAAAATGGAAAGCTGCCATTATATTTCCATTGTGATGATTCATAAGCCTCATGAAAATGTAGAGCCACAGCTGGGTGATCTCTGACTTTGAGGGATTTCTTTGTCTGGAAGGTGGAAACAGTGATCAATGGGCATATTATGATGGCTGCAATTGCTGTGGCTCCTGCTGAAGAACAGACGTGTGGTGCTCCTCTGACAGAACTTGCTTTTGAAGGCCAGTGCAACACTGCTGCCTCTGTTCTTGTGATCTGATGTCATTCAGCAAACCTTTGACCTTTCACGGGCTAATGACAACATTTGGGCTGATTGGAATCAGGCCTGGACAGAAACTTGAATCATAAAAAGGAGGTCAAAAATAAAACATCAGAATCTTTCTGAATCCTAATTCTAAATAACAGCCCTGCCCTTGTTTCAGTGGCAATGGTTTGTAGATTTTCAACAAAACATCAGCTGAATTTGAGTAGAATTTTTCAGTAACACTTTATTTTAGAATATATATATTGTGAATTGAAGTGTGGCCAAGTATGGTGTCCCATACCCAGAATTTGTGCTCTGAATTTAACCCATCCAAGTGCACACACACAGTAGTGAATACACACACACACACACACCGTGAAAACACACCCGGAGCAGTGGGCAGCCATATTGCTGTGGCGCCCGGGGAGCAGTTGGGGGTTCGGTGCCTTGCTCAAGGGTCTCACCTCAGTCGTTAAGGTGTCTTTGTTACACACTTACTATTATAACAACAATAAATTATGCATATTTACATGCAAATAACCCTAAGCCAAACCCTAACCCTAATAGTAAGTACATGTATAGTTAATTAATATTACTCAGTACTTAAATGTATAATTACACTGTAACAAGGACACCTTAAAATAAAGTGTAACCCATTTTTCTTTGAATTCTGTTCTGATATAGTTACTGCTATGTTACTGTAAAACTTAATAAGTTGTTTTAAAAATGGTAAAGAGTGTATTTTTGTCCCACTAGCATCACCAAATTTAACTGCAAAACTTACGACTGGTTTCCTGAACATTCTCTGATATTGGTTAGAAAACTGAATTCACAAAAAAATCACATTATTGGTAGTCAATGTTGCTGTGTTAAGCTGATTGGAATGCTCAACGATTGTTATTTACAATAAAAAATAGCTGCATTTACAATGAAACTAAATTGCATGTACAAAATACAACAGTATAGTGAATTCAATTAACTCCACCAGCATAAATTGAATAAAAATAAAGAAAAAACACCTAATGTGTATTCTTTCACCATTTTATAGGATCTTTCTGTATTGTAGAAAAGGTACATTACCATCTTGCAATGTTGCAATTACAGCTTCCTAACTCACAAATACAAACTTTCAAGGAGGACTTGAATGCCTCAGAAGATTTAAGAATTTGAGTTGATCTGACAGCATGCCCAATGAACTTTTAACTTTATTATCAATATTTCAAACTATTTTTAATTTGTCTGTGAGGTGAGAAGACTTTCTATTCCTCAGTAAATTACATGAATATTGGCCTCTAAAGAGCAGTGAGATAAATGGATCTGTCTGTGGGAACTAACAGAACTGAGCATTTTGAAAATGACGAGGCTCAAATCCCAGACCTCCACGTTTTCCATCAGTGGTAATTCAGTCCTAACTGCCGTTCATCTTTTGTTTGTTGAAGGATTAATGTTTCATTTGTAATGGTGAATTAAGTTTATGAAATGTGTTTTTGCGATGCGAGTAAAGACAGTTATGAGTGCTGAAATTTCTGATGGGATGCTAGAAAGCTATTAGAGATTGTATTAACACATTAAACAACATGAACTTATGTGAAATTCATTAAGAGTGAAGCTTCAATGCAAATGTCCACACTAAATCATAGTGGACCCTATTAACTTTCCTAATGCATGTTCCTGGTCTTACTGTGAACAATATATCAATGCAGGTTATTGCAAAGAAATAGAAACAAAGTTTAAACAAACTAAAATAATAATACTCAAGTGCTCTTTTCATGTAGGCTGTGCAAGCTATTGGATAAGGTTAACCTAAAGCCAATTAGGTAATAGAAAGGCCGGTTTTCACAATTAATCAATTTCTGAAGGATAAAATCAGCCAATCCTACATTTTTTCTCATTGAATATTGTGTTTCTCTTTGAAATATGTCACATTACAGAAGTAAAATTGGTGCAAATGGTATTCATACTGACTTGAAGAGTTTTTTGAGTGTTCTTATCTGCTGAGAATCATCATAAATCTGACATCATTGACATAATCCAATCTCCAAGCTTGGGACTTTCCCATCAGTACTTGAAGGCTTAACTCTTTAGCAACCCCCACCGGTTCCCATTACCCATAACACCCATAACCTATGACACACGCGAAAACGTCTCGGTTACGTATGGTAACCCTCGTTCCCTGAAGGAGGGAACGGAGACGTCACGTCGGATGACCGACGAAATTGGGGATCTCGCTTAGAGAGACCAATCTACTTCGAGTGTAAACTAAACGAGCCAATGCACATTGGCCTTTCACAGTAAATCCGAAATGCTCCAAGCTGCTCATGAGTATTGCCACTTCTCCACAGCTGATCGGAGACTGTCCTTTGTTTGCCCTCAACTCCCATGGCTCGCTTTGATTCGGAGCAGAACCCTGTGGGTGGCACTGATTCCTTCATTGTGATAGTACAACTGCAGCTGGATTTTATTTTTTATAGTTTTTTAAAAACATTACGTGAAATAGATTTTTTTTCCCAATCATTGATAGGTTTGCCCTAATGTTTTGTGCTTGAGCTTTGTAGACATTATCATCATTGTGGGGATTATCAGTACAGTTGTGGGGATAAAACTAAAATAATTTGAACATAAAAGTGGCGCGTAGTTTTAATATTTTAATTAGGTTTTAATGGTAATGTAATCAGAGCTGATGTGAAGATACCATCTGTCAAGCTCTTCTGCCATGATACTGTCACTTACTGTAAATATAAAGGAAATATATAGCTAAAGGAAATATAATAGCTTCCAGTAACCACTGCATTAGCAGGATGCAAAACTATCCAAAGATGACAGAACTATATGCCAATGCAAAACTCATCACAGGCCTATGTGAACTTGAATGGCCTCCTCTAAGAAAAAAAATCATGAGTATACAGTGATAACTATCTAGAGAGATTACAAAAATATGTTAATTGAATAGAGTTGTGAAATTAAGACTTCTGCTGATGAGCGTAGCTTGAACATTATACTGTTTTACTTACAAAAATATGTCTTACTTTTAATTCTTGAACATTTTGACTTTCCAAAGCACATGTTTATGTAAGGACCATCATTACTAATAGTCAAAATGATCAGTTCTTACCCTTCTGCCTTTGGGTCCTCTGGTGCCGCTGAGGCCCCTAGACCCGGGAGGCCCCTGGAAACACAGAACAGAGTCCTGAATCAGGCAGCAGGAGAACGTTCCCTGAGAAATTTAGTTAGAGCTGGCAAGAGTCTCTGGCAGGCAAACAAACATCACTTGACCCGATTACAACTACAGGGTGAAAGCTCTGTCCTTCAAAGGCTGGTGTTTATGTTTGTAATACGCTGCACTTTTTGCCCTCCTCACAGGGTCATCCGAGTGCCTTCAAAAGCTATTTCCTGCCAAACGCTTGCATGACGTCAACATTTGTGTGAAAAGAGCAAAGAAGCCCAAGGAGTTGTCAGGACGCTAATTATGCTAGTGTCTATCATCAGTGTCCACGGACAGCTCTAATGAGAGAACGTAAACAGTGCTGTGCGGAGGCAAAATGTTAATTTGATTACTGAATAAAATGAGACAGACTTGGCCGGTTATGATGTTTCTGTAATCTGGATTTACCTAGAAAGATTTAGACCTGACGACTGCACAAAATGTGGAAATTACAACACAAAAGTAAGACACAAAACAGAGCTGATTTGTGCTGATGTTACTTTTTGCAGAGACTCTTGGCCAGGGATAAATGAAGTCAGTTCATATATACTGAATACATAACATTGACTTACTGGTGTACCTTCTGGTCCAGATGGGCCTCTCTCACCCGGGGCCCCTGGGTGTCCCTAAAACAACAATAACAGGCACATCATTATAGAACAATCTCTATTACAAGAAATAAACTCTAAAAAACTCTCACTCAGTTGTATTTGTTTTATTGTTCCGTTTCAACTGTACTACTGTACACCATTGAAAGTTAACTTGGTGGTGTGGTAATTTAAACAAAAAAGCTTGTGATGACTATTATTAACATATTTGTGCAGCATAGAAGAAAGAGCTCTTATAAGCATGATGTAGCAAACTACACTGAGAACAACTCCTATGTTGTTCGTTGGCAAGCGCTCATAATTAACAATGGAAATGAAGACGGACTATTTTTTGAATTGCCATGGACAACAAATACATACAGACAAGTTTTAAGTGTTATAGGAACTATTGAAACACTGAAATGACGACAAAACTTCTTGGAAAGACTGGAAGGTTGCTGTTGGACTTCTTTGGAGTGGCTTGAATTTGGTTTCAACTTTGACATTGTTCCCAAACCACTTTGCGCAGCAAATGGCTACAATTTCCTTATGTCATTGAAAGGGAAATGACTCTTGCAGTGGTCTAGCTGATTATCCCATGAATGGAAAATGGCTGATGAGGCATTTTCCCTTTCCAACCATTGCAGCTGTGATCTGTGTGAGTTATAGTGACTGCCCAAGGTTAAGTGGGTATTAGAGTTCCCCTGAGAGCAGAGACGAGATCCAGACTTACTCCTTACCATCGCTCCCTTTTCTCCAGGTGGCCCGGGCAGACCCATCTCACCACGATCTCCCTGAGAGCACAAGAAACACATCTAAGCCAAACAACACAGCAGAAGATATCACTAACATCAAGGAAAGACAACATTGACCATGATACAAAACCAACATAAATGTCTGATGATTGATTTAAAACACATGCCATATATAAACAGGAACCAAGATTAATCTGAATTTAACATGATTACACATGGCGGAATGCTGTGAAACGAAATGCTGACCTTTTCTCCAGGAAACCCCACCTCACCGACAGGTCCGACAAAACCAAGAAGACCCTATTGTGCACAAAGAAATAAGGAAAAAGAAAATCAAAGATTACTAACTCCAGATTAAAACGCATATAAATATACAGAAGTATACGAAAAATCCTTTACCCTCTCACCAAGCATCCCAGGGTTTCCAGGAAATCCAGGCTCTCCCTACAGCAAAGGGACAAGATTTGCAATTCAAAAACTCAGATGTTAATGTATTCATTAACAACATAACGACCTCTAATAAAGGGGACTCATTCACACATTATTGGGAACAGAAAAAAGTAAAGGGTGTTTCTTCAACTATGACACTATACTGCCCAGAATTAGGTTTTATCCAACATTAGTGTACTTGTTTACCAAGGAGACAACAGCATCAGTGAAGAGCTTGAGATGAAATAAGACACATGTGATGTGTGAGAACAAAAAAAAAAAAAAGGGCAAATGTTATAAACAGGGGTGGAAAGAGTAATATATTAAAATATTCTACTAAAGTAAAAGTACCATTACATTAATTACATTTATCTTAAGTACAAGTAAAAATACCAGTCTAAAAATCTACTCAAGTAAAAGTAAAAAGTAGCTCTTTTAAAATTTACTCAGAGTAAAAGTTACTTAGTTACATTTCAACAGTGGGGG